ACTTCCAGGATGGGGTCCCCGTGACCCCGTCTGTGCTTGGCTGGATACGTTTCAAGAAATGGCGGCTAATCGATGTCAGTGGCGTTCGTTTGCTTGTTTTGTCCTTCAAAGCAGCCTGAGAAGTGGTCACGAAAACGCATTATCCCTTATACGAAATGTCCTTACAGTGTATCATAAGTCAGAGTAGAATTGGTCAACGGTACACAACCAATCTGAGGATTTCGGTCATGGAAATGAGGGAAATCTGTGGCTGATGGCATATCCTCCTGAGAGCCGAGGTTTTCTTGCGAACACTTCTCTGCCCAAGTACCCATGAAGATTTCCTTTTGAAAGAGCAGTAGTTTGCGTTTGAGTGCATTTCTGGAGAGGTGGCCGAAATGCAGTAATCAGACGAGTCACGGGAGTGCATTTGTCCATGGTACAATTTGTTATTGACGAAATCTGACAACTTTCTCAGAAAGTCTGGTTGGAAGATTTACAAGACAAATAAAACCAAGGGAATCGAGGAATAAACAAGTAAATAGTCTAAAAACACCACCTAGGACATTAAGGGACCGGTCTATATTAGGAATCGGCGCAGTGAGGAAAAAGTCTAGTGAAAATACAGCACAAAAATAGTACTGAGATCAGCCCTACGAAGAGTTAAGTGTAATCTTATCCGTCATTCGTAATTTCGAGTATGATTTTGCCGAAGTGAAGTCATTCACCAAGAAGCACCTTTTCTACATAGTAGTCTCCGTGGAGCTGGATCACTTCAACGAAACTCAGTTCTGATAGAGTTCTGTGTACTAATCTGCTGAAATATAATAATGATAAACAGCTGGATAGGTGTAACGGTAACACAGTAGCTCGGTTAAACTCGACAAATGCCTTACCACACGACTTGTGCTTGAACGTCCTCCTCAGTGGGGAACACTTGGCTACTTGTGTCACTGTGCAAAGTGGAGTTTGAATCCGATGAAACCCTGAGTGACACAATAGTGAATGTGTCTTTATCGAGCGTACTCTCTGTCCTTTTCCACATGGTCTGCAGCGATAAGCAATACAAGAAGTGATGGGAAACGAGTCTGCAATGCACGTTACCACCTCCAGTAAGATGGATGGATTTCCCTAAGTTGGTTGGTTATTGAAAGAATGTGCACATACCGGTTAAAGTCCTACACAATGGCAAATTTTCGCATACAGAACGTTAGATAAATCTCCATTATGCTGTGTAGGAGTGTAGCTAGCTGGATTTACTCATTTACAGCTGAAGGATGTACCTCGCTACGTCCTTTTCTATCCAGGGGGTTTAACAAAGCAAGAAGAAGAAGAAACACCTTAGCCGAGTAAGGTGCCTTTTTGGCCGAGTGCTTGAATTAGATTCAGGGTTAAACAGGTCAGACGTAATAGTTCTGGACACAATCGTATCGACACGAAAGGTCATGACAGCATTGGGCGAGACAAACATATAAAGGGTCACATACAGCGTAACACAGTCAGACTGTGGAAACAAGATTTGTTCATGACTTGTTTGCACATGTCCTAGGGTAACGGTGGTACTATTGATGGGGAGGCGCGCGAGTAGTATGTGTTGTTCGTAGAATTTCGCTTTGCGTCTTTTGAAAAGGGGAGATCTGTTTCGGAATTTTGTAACATTTGCTTGGATTTGACGGACGGATGAGTGGAGTCAATGAATCTCTAGGAAAGTTCAAGAAGACGCGTTCGGGAGTTTTTGTAAATAAGATGCAAATTAGAGTTTTGCTTCCCTGTTCANGTCTGTAGCCGTCAGTTGGCATTTCCTAATAAATAAGTCCGCGGCGAAGGCCTTCCTCCTTTTCACTAGTAGGGTAATACGAGACCCGCTGATCACCGAGGAGTCACCAAAGTTTATCGGTTGGTAAGGTAAAGGTAACAGGCGATGGAGGATGACATATCTAGCATCTCTTAAGACAAATTCCTAAGATTACGTAAAATGCTCTTTCGTCTCAAATTCCGCTCCCAGTCAGAATCCAACCTAGTTGAGTCCAGAAACATAGCTGCTTTCTCGCGTACTTATATGCATGCAACTACTGAGGGTATCGTAACCGACCGAGACCTTCTACTTTTAATTTGCACGTCAATGATCATAGTTTCCTCTGGACTCATTATGTCATTCATTCACGTAAGCCCATACTGGGAACTGTGGGGTGGCTGTTCGGAACGACAGACTTGATTCCAATGACCGACTTCGGGAATCCGAGCTGGGAATGTCATAACCCCGTAAATTCAGGTCCCCTGTTGAACTTGACCATCTGTATTCATGGACGAGCATGATTCAACACATCTAATCATGAGATAAAACTGGTCACCTTTCCACGCTTTGCTCAAATGAGATATAACCTGCCACTGTCTAAACCCTATATGTGTGAGTACCTTGAGGTTTCTGTCTCCTGGTTACTTAGGGCATTAGGACGCGAAGTGCGAAAGGTACTGGCATTTCAGTCAAAAGTTTAAAAATAAATCAAGAAATTATCAGCGAGTCGTGGCTGTTTCATTCATTGGGGGACTTCTGTGTATGCGTTCGGTGTTGTTCGGTGCTTTGAGGAATACTTCCACGAGGTCAAAATGTAAGCAAAAGTCACCCAAAATCCCTTTAATCGTGCATGATATCAGACGTTTAGTACTGTTAAACCGGGGACAGATCACGGAGGAATGGAATATCAAGATTTAGCCACGAGGGGAGGAGTGCAACTATTATTAACAACATCAATGTCGACATCATCACCATCAACAGAAGAAGAGCCGCGTACTTGTCGTACACTGGTTCTAGCTGCCACAGTTTCGTTCACCGATGATTTGTGGAGGTGGAGTACGTAGCTGCGCATTGGAGGTTGTGGCTGATATAATTGATGCTTAAATAAAAGGTGGTTCGTGGACTTGAAATTGGAGAGCCTGGGAGGGGACCTATGTACTAAAGGCAATAGCTTAGACACACGAGCGCCACCGAGGACGCGACTGGACCATGTCTAACAGTGTCTCTAATAATTAGTATGTCCCGTCTCTCAGTCCCTATTTAGGGAGACGGCAAAGAGCAGCGCAAATGAGTTTGCTGGTAATGGCAAACATACTACGCTGCCAAGTCATCTTTTGCCTCCTTGTCTCGTTTCCAGCATTCACATGGTTGTGCGCACAGGGTCCTTCGTGGAAATTAGTTGAGTGGCGTACGAAACACGTGACCAAGCCAGCGCAACCTACGGAGTGTAATCGTTTCATCTATGGTGTGCGAAATATTTCTTCCGAAAGCCATTCGATGTACTTTAACATTACAGATCCGGTGTTTCCGTCAGACTCGGGCATCCGAAGTCATCGATGGTCAAACACAAAGCATTTGGCACCTTCAGCGGCCAGGATTGTGATCAGCACAAAAAATTGAAACGCATCGAAGCGTTGTCAACTCGCCCCTTGACGGATGTGATGTCGTGCCTACCCCACAGGTAATGCAGTTTCACAAAAGCTTTTCCATCCTTTACGATCCGGATGAAAATATCATCTTTCGTGAGACCACCTGGATTGACACAGCTGCCCGGGCAGACAAATTTGTTTTCTACCTCAGTCGGCTCTTCCTAAGTATGAGGTTAAGTTTTAGGCCCACTCAGTATTGCAGCAGCCCTTCACACATTGCAAGTGTGAACCAAAGACCTAGTCGTGATAGAGAATCGTTTAGGTTATTTAATGTTGTTTGTATTGCCACGGTGTCAGATCCAGGAGGAGTCATTTCGAATGCGTAGTCGAGATCCGCGGGCAATTTCTCCGGAAGCACTTCGACATCACAGGTAATGGATAATGGTAGTAAGACTTCCACAATGGCATCAATGACGAAGTTGAAGAACAATGGTGGATGAGGACAGCCCTAGCTGACACCAATTGATGGGGTGAATTCAGGCGATGGCTTCCCGTAGAAATTCACACGTCCGTGATATGGCGTACAGCGCCTTAACGAGGGTCAAGAATTTATGCGGGACACCTTTGCTCCACAGACTTCACCGTAGTGCCTGACGGTTCACTGAGTCAACGACAGCCCTCAAGTCAAGGAAAACAGACATTGTTGGGCGCTGAAAACAATATCGCTGTTCCAGAATCTTTTGGTGTGTGAAAATATTATCGATGCATCCTCTTGCAGCACGGATCCCAGCTTGGTTTTCAGAGATTTTTCTCACCATGTGTTCAGTCAAGCTTCGAAGGGTAAGACCAGGGATCAACTTCGATGCCGCAGCTACCGTATTGATGCTGTGGTGGTTTTCGCACAGCACCGCTTACCCTTTTTGAAGATGGGGACAACTGTCGAAATGTTCTACCCTTCAGGCAGTTTCTCTTCCTTCCATATCGCACCAATAAGTTTTGTTAGATAGGTCTTCGGGGATACTCCGTCTTCTTTGAATAGGGCTGGATAGAGACCGTCCAGACTTAGTGCCTTCTCACAGTTCAGTAAGGACATTCCGCACTTTTTTGTTCTTCCTACGGGCGATTCAGGTTTACATTCAATTAGTCCGTTTGTATTATCTCCACAGACTGTGTTGCAGTAGGCCATTTGAACTGTTCTTCGAAGTGGTCGGTTCATCTCTCCAGTAGATGTTTTTGTGAGTGAATTAATGAGCCACCTTTTTCACTTATCTTTTCACCGACCTTTCCTAGGGACAGTCGCTTGTATCAATCGATATAGGGCACAGTTGTTTCTGGTAGCAAGGGTATCCATCTTCCGAGCCTTCGATAACCACCAGAGCTCTTGGTCTCTCCTTTGACTCTTCACTATTTGGCAGTTGGGGGTTTCGCGTACGCCGTCATACTTTTTGCATGCTAGTATGGATTTCCTGGCACTAATCTGGACTAGCGAAACTGACGACATCCAGTGATCTTGTGGTCAAGTCAGTGGAGCCCGACAGACAACGCTGAACGCCACTCGCATAGCTCCTTTCACATTTTGCCTTGCTTCACCCACGTTCTTACTAGTACAGAAATGGCTTACTGTGAAGAGTTGTTGGACTGACTCAGATTGATTCTGTTGAGCTACTCGCATAGCTTCACATTTTGCCTTGCTTCACCCACGTTCTTACTAGTACAGAAATGGCTTACTGTGAAGAGTTGTTGGACTGACTCAGATTGATTCTGTTGAGCTATGACAGTTCTTGGAAGATGGTGTATTTGCATCCTTATAGCTGACTTACGAGAGCCTGGAGAAAACGAAGTCTCAGGTGTGCGGGCACCATGGTGTAATCGGAATCACTTCGTATGCCCTAAAAGGGACGGTAGTCTTGAACTGTAGCTCTCCACAGATGGCCGATAACCACGTGATCCTTCTTGGCGCACCGTTGGTTTGCAGTTGGTGGTTGCCAGGTTGCGCGATGCAAATTATCATGCTGAAAGTTCACGCTGATCATAAATGGCTGATAGTCACGACTAAACTGGATGTGTCCCTCTCCCATATCTCTGCGATCAGCATCGACTCCGAATCAGCCGCCCAAATGTCATTTCGTGGAGCTTAGATGACCGACTTGGACACATATATCGCCCGCAAGGGTTACTATATAAGTGTTTCTTGCTCAACAGATAAGCCCCAATGACGAACGGTAGAGAGTATCCTTCTCAGCGTCAGAACTGCAGTCCGTTGGGACATAAGCTGACACTTTAAACAGGCGAGGATTTTTTATCGAGAGGCACTCAGCCTGACTGTACTGGACAACCGGACGGCTCGAAGATGCCTTTTCACTGGGTTCCAATTCAGGAAAACGCTCTCGGCCCTAGGGCTGAGTGCAGCCCCCAAGCCATATATTGCAAGAGTCATCGGTTCTGGATCATAGGACACATGGAATGAGGAAGGTGAGAGAGTTGAGTTAGTCTATGGAATTCTGAGATGCATAACCACGCGTAGGTCTTGTATGCGTGTTTCAGTGAGCATTGAAATCAAGCACGGACTTTCAAAGCCAGTAGGTAGAAAGAATGTCATGGCTTTAGCAAGGTTTCATTCTGTTTATTGATAATAGGTAGCGGGAAGTTTAAGATTCATCGGTCTGACAGACAAATGACCCAGTTACGTTTACTTGTGTTGTGGGGAGGGGTTAGATAGGGACATCAATGGACATTTGAAACTCAGTCTACTGGGACATACTTTTTTACTGTTCTCAACAAAATGCCCGTTTCAGCAATATCTGTAGCTCTGATGTGCCGCTTGGTTGTTGGCCTGTTGGTCAAACTTAGCAGTTTGATTGCAAGCGTTTCATCACCAATCGAGATGATATCGTCAGTTCGGGATTGAATGGGTAATATCTTCCTCCTCTGGGCATGCTTATGTGGTTTCTAAGCAGCATCTAATAACTGCGAAGCGATTGATTGGTTATTAAGTGCTTTTTAGGAACAATTTTCAGCGCCGTCTGACTACTGGAGTGATGGAAATCATGCTCGCTAACACTAGTCAACGTACGTACATTGATGGGAGCCGAACACGTTCACACTCACATTGTCACATTTGCGCAAAGAAAGTTTGCGAAATGAAAGCAATTGAAGCGACGAGCTGTTGGAAAAGAGTTACGTAAGCGAGACTGTCACATAACCCAACCGATACTCTCCAGGCTTTTGGGCCTTTTCGCAGCTTACCGAAGAATAAATTCGCCCCTGAACGTTTGAATTTCTCAAAAGAATCAGAGGTAAAAACATGTTGAAAAGCCTCACAACTAGGTCATTAACATTGGAAACTCTCAACAGTGAGCACCTCAGGACTGAACTTGGAAATGGAAATCTTTTTGAAGTGGTTCGTGGTAATTGCATTTCTGAGACGGACACGTAGTGGTGTGCTTGTTTTTAACTTATGTAGCGCAGAACTTCAAATGTAGAAGGTTCAAACAGTCGTCATCATCATTCCCAGCTGTATGAACCGAGCACTTGTCGTACAATGGTTGTAGCTGCCATAGTTTCGTTCACCGGTGATGGTTCAAACAGTAGAAAGAAAAGAGAATGAAATGAAAAAGTGAAAATCGAAAAAGTCCCGTCAAGAATAAGGTGCTCCAAACCTTGACAGTAACAAGGGCAAAAAATATGAGCGATTCGGGTGAACTAGATAAAGGTATTGGACTCGCATTATTACTCGAAAGTTTAGTGCGTGCACTTTTGACGCTCGGGGAAGCAGCTGATATATAGGTATATTTTCTTCAGACATCTGAATAATGCGTTTGGGCAGAATGACAGCAAAATAACCTGGATTTGAGAAGTTGACTGAGATACATGGTGGACCTTCTTCCCACATTTGTAAGGTTAACTTTTTTTGGCTCGGAGTCACAGATTACGTCTACGTGCATTCAATAACGAATAGCCTACGTGAATTTTGGCGAGCAAAGTTTGAGTGTAGGTTTTCTTAAGAATTCACAGCTGGAGCGGCAAGTTCTTCCCATTAATCACGAAATCTTTTTGCCCATTTACTTTCTCATTGCCAAACTTAACAAACCGTTGTAGCAGAAGTTATGGTCATTTGCTTAACTGAGGCTATGCTATGCATGTAACGCTGATCCTGGGGGCGGTCGCCACACAGTAAGACAATCAAATAGCAAACAACTACGGGTCAGTCTTGCTTTATAAATAGAATATCTCAGGCTAAGACAACAGTTTTAGTCATTTTTAGTAGTGGAATCAACGAAGTTGATTACCATAAATTTGGAATATGCTCGGACAGGCACGGTACTGACACAGGAGTGAATGACTCTTCCACATCTAATTCATTCACAGGTGTAGGTATCCTGAAAATCCATTTATCTATGCCAACCATTCTTGCTTGTGTACCGTGGGCTATGTTTATAGAGATCTTATGGTCAGTGAGTGTTAGGAATGGCTGTCCGGTATGACACAGTCAGTTACCTGAAATTGCTTTTTGTCGGCTTCGATTTTCACTGGATTCATTTGCACAGATTGTGAAATCAAAGTATTTGTGTGTAGATCATCGAGATGATTTGATTCTTGGTCCTCCAGTGGGCTTGTTGTCTGAAGAAAAAAAGGCCGAGTTGAGAAACACGCTAAACTTTTCATACCACGTCAAGAGTTGGGGTGGACGAATATAAAGCGTCTTTCCGGCCCGTATAATCACTTAACAATGTCCGTGGAGCAGTGGAAAAATACACTGTACTATTCCGATGTATACTATGTCTAGTTGTTTCCTTTCGAAAAAAAATTCGCAGCCAGGGAAAATACATTTCAAAAGTAAACTCCTTTATTTGATTCCTTCTGCCTGTCTGTCATAAAGGAGATGACTTCTTACTGGGCAACGTTAAAATACCACAACCCATTGATTCAAACGAAATCAGTCAGTCACCTACATGCTGAGAGGTTTTTATACACGCCTACTTAATTTCACGGAACATAGAAAACAAGAATGCAGTTAAACATTACCGCAATGTCTGCTACATCTGTGCGTTTCTTATGACTAGATACTTCAACCCATGACCCCTAATTACTCAGTCTGTAGTAGCTTTCACTTCCACTGGTGGCCTGCACTTTACTTTCGATGTATTCAGATGTTCCCGCTATGGTACTTCTGCAGGGCGCGCTCCACCACACATAGCATTCAAGCTTCCAACATCAGATGAGAACTAGAGTGATTTTCAGGAAATGGGGCCACTTGGTTGCGGATCAACTGTTATCAGCTTTCCATTAAATCCGCAGACCACTGACAGCATAGTCAGGATAAGTCTTAGCATGCTACTCTACTTTTCAGGCTGACAAACGAGGGGTAAACTTTCATCAAATAGTTTACGGTCTATAAAACCAGGTTCTAAGGCGCGGAAGCCTTTGACACACTGTGAGCCACCTTTTTCATTAGTATACATTTGCGATTTTATTCTGCGTACTTTTGTGCAATTTTATGGTTCTTCCGAAATAGAAAACGTTTCCTGAGTCTTCTCCTTGTATACATCCAATACATCAACATCGGGACACTGCCCAGCTGGCGGGTCTCCTCTCTAACATCTCAATCCATACCAAGAGTATAAATCAGATTTTGGGTTTCTGGTGAGACGTTTTGCTGGTATTGCTTCAGCTATACATAAGACTAAAATTCTTCACTCACGTCGCCACAATCATGCAGGATAGCTACTGACAGTCTATCGTCTCCATCTGCTTTCATAAGAGCCTCCAAACAATTCGAAACGCCCAAAACTCCTTCGTTGAGTTGAAGTTTGCTGTTCACTTGCTCGACCTGGAAATGAGTGCGGAGAAGAGTAGAAGACTGAGCACTTGTTTAACTCAAACATGAGGTACGAATGCCAGCTATAGTATAAAGGTAATTATGAATGCGAAAGGACATTCGTCTTGAATAATGAGCCCGTCACAGTTTTTCCGATTTCTGAGATTATTAATTACGAAATATGTTTTACATGGTGTAAACGCAGTGTATGCACCATTCTTTCAGTGACCTTTTGTCTAGTTAGACGCATTTCCTATGCGTCCTTTAACAAATGCAAGCATAAATGTAACCTTTAGAGGATCACTGCACGTATAAACCGTCTACCAAGCACCAATGATGAAAAAACGGACAACGACGCTGCACACGTTTATACAGGATTGTAATTGTGTTTGGCTATGCGGATACAGAGGTGGTTGTGAAGAAAAAGAGGAAGATAAAACATTATATCCGTGCAGAAAACAGAAGCCATAGACAACTAGTCCGCACATTTGAAGTCGTGGAAAGAGCATCTGGATTCAAAGACTTACGGGTCTCCCCAATCTTAGAATGACGGTAGAATGACGCTTTAGTTTATCAAGCAGCGTCTAAGTTTTGAATTAAAGACGCGGAACTTACTCATTAAATGTGTTTTTAAGCCAAATAACGGTCATGGAAACTCATTGGACATCGAACAGAATAATGCAGTGCTCATTTCCTAGGCATCTGTCAGAAGGGCAATGATCGTTGCGGAGATAACCCTGGTTGATATCAATCATCCTATCTATCATCTATAAACCATATACCGTTGGTTCCAGCTACTACAGTTTTGATCCCCGGAGAGTGTGGTAAACGCAGCCAAGCCTTGGAGTTGATTGCACATCTGGTTAGTTCGGGAACTGGGTAGCTACGCATTAAAGGTGACAGCTTTGATGAACGAGTGTTATTGATTAGGCACGATTAGGCCAATGTCATAAACCATTGGTGAGTTATGTCCCGGAATCCCCATCTAGGGAGGCGGCAGTTGTCGATCCGACTACGTTTACTGGCTAGTGTTTTTATTCTTCTTTGCCAGGTCATACACTGTTCACCCCCCGGTTGCTTCCACTCAGCACAGAGCTGGGTGAGTAGAGTTCTGTGATGCAGTCAGTCTTCTGACTGTCCTAATCAGCGTAACCAATGAAGCTTGAGTAATTCATCAATTGCAGGAGGTCCCTATTGCTAAGGCCATCTGGCGTACCTCAGCATTGCTAATCCGATGTTCCAGTCAAACCCAACCAGTGCTCCGGAGACACTGACGGTAAGTTACTGACATTTTTCATTTGTCTTCTGTAAGTAGGCGCCACATCTCTGATCTATGGAGCAGAATGGATCACACTACAGCAATGTAAACTCTGCCCTTGACAAACAAACTCATGTCTCGCCGGTGACATGTGGAGCAGGTTGGCAAAAGCTCTCCTAACCTTCCCGATTCGAGAAGGAATCTCATATCCAGCCAGTTAACTGGAGCTTATACAACTGCTTAGGTAAGTGAATTCATCTATCACGTCGATTGACTCGTCTGTAAGCATGAGGTTTGGGTTCGATCCAACCCAGTCTTGTAACAACGCTTTGTAGGTGTGGAGCGCGCGCCAACCCGTATGGCAGAGTTACCCAGGTTATTCAAATATCAGAAAGCTTCATTACCAATTTGCGGATACTACAATGTAGGTCTTTTGCGGAGACGGCTACTTAGGGACGACGAATGCTGTAAGTGTTGGGGCAAAGCACCTGCCCACTATTAAGTTAAAACTTTGCACAATAATTCTCATCAAGTCACAATGAAAGAATTCAGTCAATTGTTTACTCCAGTGTGTTGATTCTGTAGAGCTCTGACCTGAAGAGTTGAACAGTGCTATGAAGAAAATTCCTCTAAGTACTGAAAAGCTAATCCTAACGATTAATAGCGAGACCCATGATGGGAATGAATTCTTTTATTATCGAGCAAGACTTCGTTTTGCTTGGATGATTTGGACCTTATACGGCTTGATTCATTCACTGAACAAAATTGAGTCAAGGTTGCAAACGAAGCAGTCAAGGTTTGCTTCTGTATTAATTACCAAAGGGTGTTCCCAGTATATGGCATGCGCGTCTTCCAAATTTTCAATCGCAAACAACTGGTTCCCTCGAGAAGTTTCTTAGATTGTCAGGTTACCGGTAAAAAGGGACTATTGTATGCATTGAGTCAAGAATCCCTTCGGATAATTTCTTGCCTAGAAATCTCCCACAGAGTAGTCTTTGTAGAAATTACGTGCACTGTCCGATTTTAAAGCTGAAGCACTGTAGTTCGTGACTTGGGGAGAAACTTATCCAGGACACTTTGAGTATACTGAGTGAAATATGTTTTATGCACAAGAATGGCCACCAGAGAAAGAAGAAATACCAGAAGGAGGTTGTATTGCATTTCTGAGTTCCCACTTAATCTGTGCCTTATTTTTGTGGCCGTGGAACACCTGGTCGTTCATTATTGTTTTCCACCTACCAAGGCCCTTAGAAAAGATGATTCCTAGAGCACCATCAGAGTTTCCTTTGTTGGCACGGTTGCTTTCGTGCTCTCACAGGCCCAGCTACTTAGTAAGACCGAGCTGCCTGCACTGTTCCTACAAAAAAGTGACTTTGAGTAAATGGATTAGAGAGTGCCTCGTTCACGGTTAAAAGCCATACGTAATGTAACAAAAAAACAAATAGCAGTTGCAACGCACAGCTTACTTCGCCAGACACACGATCGCTCATTTCCTCAGCAGTTGAGCAAGTCTTTTGATGAACATTCTCCTCTACTTCAGTTTTCAGCTGTAAAGTGCCAATGGCACTCGGTTGGTTGTATACCGGCGTTCTTTGAACAGAGAGCTTTGCCTGTTTTATGCGACGGTGAATCGAATGAAGTCGGATTTTCAAGGAAGCAAAAATAAATCTCAAAAATGGGATGCGTATTTTTTCAAACAAGCAAAGACATTTCATAATTTTGCTGAAGACTCTTCGACAACCCGTTGAGCCCCCCATAAAAGCTAGTGAAATGTAGATAGTGTATTTGTTGAAATCAGTCCGATTTGGTTTAAAGTAGAACATCGTGAACTATGCATATCCGATGAGCCCCAAGGAGGGAGAAACCGATCGTGGGCCGTCGAAGACTTTCAGAAAACTTGTGAGTACTTTTTTCATGAAAATATACAGCGATATCTCGAAAACAGTACCAACTAAAACGTGAGACATCCTTTGTTTGACACATTCAGCTGAAGGTTATCTTAAACGGTAGAATCAATAAAATCTCCCGTGAGAACTAAATTGGTATGCAAATGAGTCGAAAAACAGACTGTTCGTTTGGAAAAGAGATATGATCCAGCTTGTTTACTCTGAGGCGAACGGATGTTTAGTGTAAATGATATGAAGTAAATCATCCGTGATTTTTCATGAGGGCATAAAAATCTGGCAGTCAACAGGATGTTACACAACTATTTTACCGTTCGTTTCCCTGCGACCATAGGACAGAGATATCAGGGCACTGTATCGAGCGTTGATGCTATGGCTATGACAACCTGGACAGCAGTAGTCAATTGTTCGGTTCTGTCGCACCACTTTCCACATCATTAGTACAATCGTCATCATCATCATCATCAACACAACCTATTGAAATCAGAGTTTCGTCTGCTTCCCTCGCTGTATGGCTTGACTGTTTGGCTTGACCTCCTCATTTTTATGACTGTATTGTATTGTAATCAGTTGGCTGACTAGCCACACTGGACAATATTCATGTAAGTTAGGTTGTTTGGTGAACGCACGGAAGGTCCGTTGTTTTTCACGCTGATTTACTTACGTGCGATCTTTGAAAATTATAGGAAAACTTTCCACGTGAACAGTCGTATGTATATTACGCAAAAGCTGAGACCACCGTATTAAACAAAAACCAAATAGATGATTTTTTTCATCCAATTTAATTTTTGGCTAGAAAGGTCAGATGTGATCCCAGCATACCGAATACAATTCATTGGTCTCTGATTGTTGAGATTTTGTCGGCGGTTTATTACATCCAGAGATCTCTAGGCTCGGTCCCAAAGTGGAGTTATTACACTTCTTTGGCTCTGATAGGTGAAAATCCGAGGGAGGTCCTTCCGACTGAAGCAGGAAAATTAGATCATGGCTAGTAGTTTAACTTAAAAAATGAGCAAACAAAGTGAGATGAACTGGGGTAAATCAGGCAGCCAACCAAGCAGGAAGGAACAGGGAGACAAGCCTAGAACAGCTCCTTAACATCCCTTCATCTTGCACTAAAATTCAAGCTTGTTGTAAACTCCTGCATGGCATCACTTAGCCACATTTCTCTTTCCATCCTAAATCTAGGTTAAGGGCGTATCGCTGTTCGAAACGTTCTTGTATAGTGAATGGCAAATGAGCGGATACGAGCGCCTCTTATCTGCATGTTATGCACACTGGATTGGCGACAAAAAGTCGGATTTTTGCGAAGGCCTTACAAAGGAACGGGTACATGAAGTCTGTGATTGAATATAATTGACACCTTGACTGGTCCGGAAAGCTACCATTATTGAGACAATTTCAAACATACACGTCAGACTGTGAAATGTCCGGAGCCGTGGTACTGTAGTATTTCAGTGATATTATACAGCTTCCCATGGAAAAGCTCCAAACCCGGGTATACTGCAGGTGGTCTGTAAATAACAGATTACAGTTTTATATTGAGCTTTAAGTCTTAGAATGCTCAGTCAAAATCGTTTATGCGCTCGTAACCCCACTTGTTTAGAAGAAAACTCAATGCTTTCGTTATTTCTTGCCTGGTCCCACATATGTTCCGCTTAATCCAACTGATCCTAGGAAAAGGATAGGAGACATACATAAGCATCATCAAAAGGCAGCTTATATGCACAGAAAAGTGTCCCCGAACAGAAGCCAAAACGTTTGGTGAATAAACTCAAGAGCTACACATAATTTGAGTCAATATCAAACCGATGAGATTTATCTAGGTGTTTCTAAACTTTCAATAAAATAATCCGGATTGGGATAACCTGCTTGCACAACAGTTCTGTGTACGGGCTATCTTTTAAAAGATGAAACTATAGATATCAAGCCCAGGCAAGTAAGTTTCAGCACAAGCCATGCTATGTGAGGTCTTGTTCAGTTCAAGGAGTTAAAACATTTAGGGTGTGTAGCACATGACACTTTGCTAGATTGCTAAGTGCGTAGGAAACTTTAATTTGCGGTGAAAGTTTTATAAAATGTTTGATAACAACCCACTCCCAAAAACTGACCTATGTTGCGACTTTAGGCTCTGTAGGCAACAAGTTCACTTCGTCAGAAGCTGTTTAACGTATTTTCTATACTTTCATATTCATCATTATGATGGTCATTTACGTGTGTGAAATTGAAGTTCTCAAATCTCTGTCGCACTTACAAAAAGAGAAAGTTTATTTAACTTTCAGGATTTCTCTGGTCATTGCAAGAAGGTTTTGAAAAGCCCTGTGTTCAAGAATAATGCAGAATAGTCTCCCATGCATAGTACATAATTTGAAATAGAACTGGCTCTCAGTTAAGTAGCTGTTAGAAGCTAATTTGAAAAGGAAATTTGACCATAATACGCTGATAAAAATGTAACAAAGTCTATTTAAACCAAAATCAAATAGACAGTATGGTTTGGTTTCTCTTCAGAGGGTAGTTACCACAAAGCTCGAGGGAAGCACGAGGATTGAGAGTCTAGGCAAGCCTAAATAGGAGCATTAAAAAGCTGGATCAGGTCCGAATCCAGCAGAGAATATCGTGTGCTGAGGAGAGGCAAACGTCGGAGAATTCAATTCCACAGAGCGCGAATTAGTCTAACAGCATGATCCTTGCTGGCTGGAAGATCCCATTCGGATGCAAACCGTGTAAGAAACACCTTATGTAACAAAAATTATATAAAGCCATGTCGCGTCATACTGTATTACATTATTTTATATTATGCTATATTATCAAATATGCAATATATACTATAGAGCAGAATTATTTTGTATTGTTTAACTGAATATGACTCCTAGGTTTATGTTAGAAAGGTTGTCTTAAGACTCTTCTTCAGTTTTTTGTTCGTCCTTTCTGGTTGAATATTCTCACTACTGAATGAAACGAATAGTCCCGATCCTCGTTATCGAGGCTTCTTTGTCCACTTGTTTTTCCAAGGAAACCGGGCAGACTTTTCACTAGCTATCAAATTACTCTAAATAAACCTGGCACCGCTGTCCACGCTAGGCATAGACAAGAGTTTTCACAATTGTTCTAAACGTTACTCTGATAATTGTTGCCTGACCTTACATCTGTCTATGTCCCACACTTATAGCGTCCCAGAAAACAGCAGTAAGCCTTCATAACGTTTTCACGGACAATACACCACGTAATTGTTTGCCGCCCAACAAGAAGCTGCGGGAGTACAAAAGCTCGTTCAGGCTAAAAGTAAATCATTTATCTGTACTCAACACAACTGGTATTCAACAAACCATCGATTAGAACCAGAAAATGGCAGAAAAATTTGCTGCAATAAAGAAATTCAGTCTGATTAAGTGTTGATAATGAGAAGAAATAGTCAAGCAATGTAGTAGGTCCAACGTAGTACAAGGCAAATTCCAGAATCTATAGTTTTGTCCTTAGCCTTGTGTTTGGAACACTGATCATTTGAGGGTAACTAAGGTGAACATGATTCGAATATTTTGGATTTCATTTGCCCTCTATTTTGTGCAGCCAAACTAACGTAGCTGAGAAGTATCATTGGGAAAGTGAGACGTGAATTTCCCGCGAAGTTTTATCCATATTCAGCTCCATAAACATTCTTCGTTTGCAAGGGGAAATAAGCTGGGAGAAAATGATTTTTTGGTTTTCTGGATTTAGCTCGGTCTCTTCGTGGGCGGGGAATTTGATGAAAATATGTCTACTATTAGAATGTGTGAGACCGAGCTATTTTTCCGGTTTTATCCCTAACGCTATAAGTCTGCAGGTTTATTTATTTATGCCCAAAATTTCAAGTAATTTTATTTTTATATTGGTCCTTTTGTAAAAATATTAGAAAATAAAATGCGGTCCACCACACTGATGGGAAGTATTGAGGAATAAGGTGTAGTGGTAACTTGGATCGTGGCAATTTTCTTTGATGTTGCTAATTCTTTGACATTAGTACTGGTGTAACATCTTTTATTTTACTTCAGCTGGGAATGATCGGTAAAGCTATATACATGGTTGCGGATAGGGAGACAGACAGCTATCTTCTTCGCACACTTTTGCGTGGGAGAGGTTATACTCAGGAGCACTACAAGCTATACTGTCCCCAAAGTCCGATGGAGTCAATAAACACCCATATAACCCTAGGGGTTATAGTCTAAGCGTTGGACTCTCTATGGAGGCAAAAATTTAAAGATTCATAAGCCTGCTGTACAAATCATAAGGTTGCTGAGAACTCTTTGACAATCCACGACTCTTTCTGTCCTTCTTGGGGCCATAATTTAGGTGCAGTCTTCTACTTTTTGTCAATCCTGTGTTCTACGTAAACCCAAATTACATAAAATTCGACTTATACACTTACCTGCACACCGATTTGGTCCTGACGAGAGGCTCACCTGAAGTCCAACCAAATATGCTGACGCAAGAAGGGCAAAACCGTCCGAGGATTATTAAGGAGGTTTCAGCAATCTTATGAGTACTGCTCTACTTGTGTACAATACATCGCAATATATCAAACGTCGTGAAATGAAAAAAAAATAAGGTGGCCTGATTCAGCGCGCTCAGTTGCTTAATGACACCAAAAACTAGAGATTATGCGGAGTTCTGAGTAGACCGCCCTTCAAAAAACCGGGCTGTGATGCAGACGAGCGCATAGGTAAAACTTCAATTCATTTTTCTTATAAGATTAGTTCACAAATGAGTTTATTGGTAAACTCCAGGATTAACTCAAGCAACCGAGGTTACTTAACAGGTGCGGATGTTCTGGCCACTGTTTCACTAGATGTATAAGTACAGAATCTGTTTCATAAAAACACTGGTATTCGGAAGGAACTGGGGCGAGGAAAATTACTTCTCAGCGTTAAAACACCATTGGATATCTATACACCAGATCGGGTAAAAATAAATCCTTGTAATAACGTTGCGCTTCCGGGGCAAATCCATGTAAACTATATAAAACACAAAAACGCAATCCGCGCATAGCGAAAATATAAATAACCAAAACAAAACATAACAATAACCTTCCAAAACTAAGGCATATAAAGTACTTTTCAAGTTTTCTGAGACTATCCTCTTTTCCAACAGTGTGTCACAACGCTGAACTTACCACCGGTTTTATCTGAGCATCCTGCCTAATAACGGCCGCTGAGTAGTTGACAGAGTTCTCTTTTTGATCAATAGATGTTTGACGTGCTACTGTACACGAAGCAAGCAAAGTGGACTCCGCCAAAGTGATAAGCAAACTTCCTCTACGTTTGTCCACATTTTCTGGAGAGTGAACCTTAAATATTTGGATGTGGATAATGTAGTTACTAAGGCATATAAAGTATTTTTCAAGTTTTCTGAGACTATCCTCTTTTCCAACAGTGTGTCACAACGCTGAACTTACCACCGGTTTTATCTGAGCATCCTGCCTAATAACGGCCGCTGAGTAGTTGACAGAGTTCTCTTTTTGATCAATAGATGTTTGACGTGCTACTGTACACGAAGCAAGCAAAGTGGACTCCGCCAAAGTGATAAGCAAACTTCCTCTACGTTTGTCCACATTTTCTGGAGAGTGAACCTTAAATATTTGGATATGGATAATGTAGTTGCAAACTAAGTGGTTTTCAACTCACCCTGGTTGTAGGATGCTTTGTTTTTCCTTGTGAAGTCACCAGTCTGGATTTCTGACTGGTATATTGTTTTGCAAATATATCAAAAATAGAATTCCGCCGTGAACCATCTCCGTTACGCAACACGCTGCTAATGTATGTTGGGTGTCTCGATTTTGACGATGTTGATGCCATTTCCTTCACACTGGACTGTCTGTGCAAAAGCAAATCTTGATTGCAAGAGAAGGGAGCTTCCGTCAAGTGATCGAATGATGTTGTCTCCCACGTTCCGCTGGGAACAGTACTACGGTGAACGAAAACAAGAAAATGAACTGAATTCTACAAAAGGAACGTGTATTGTTAAGATCCTGATGTGTTAAAAACCTCTGGGTTTGATTTTAGTTGCGTTTGTCTAGGAACGTTTCATTTAGAGTATTACACCATGATCATGTGTGCTAAAGCCAGAAATTTGGTTATGTGTTACTGTTTCACTAAACACGTTAAAATCTTTATCAAGTGCACTCAGCTTTTGCTATAAAAATTTGATGCATTTGGTCGAAATCTCTTAAAGTAAACTTCTCCTAATTCACCATGTATTTATGTGGCTCTCGCTACTTTGCTATACCTTTTGCCAGGTGATTTTGCGTATGAGTTTGTTAGAACGATGTGTAAAGTATACTTACAATAATCTCACAGTACACAGAAGATTTGATTTTATGCTTTGCCTATGGAGACCAATAAAGTGCCTCTTTGCTGATTTATCATAAAAATGCTTGAGGTAATTTATTCCGGGCCTAAGGCTGTGCATTTATCTAGATTTTGCGGATGCGTTGCTTTTGTTTATTACACCACCTCTGAATACCTATAGAGCAAATTTAGTTTTTCGTTTCAAATATATTTTTAATGCAATACGCATAAACAAACATACTGTCTGTGGAACTTGAAATTAATTAACTTATGAATGTGCCTGGATTTGGGTATATAAATCAACCCATATTTGCCTTTATGCTCATAGAAGAAATAGGATTATTCCATCACGTTGAACTTTCTCTTACAGGGATGTGAATATAACTGGGTTCCTGAGAGATTATAAAATATTCCTGATAAAACATTCTACGAAATCCCGAAGATCATTCATGCAACTAAGGGAAATCTAACTACGCACATCTAATTTTAATAAAATTATATTCCGCCATTTCACCAGGTAAGGCTCTTCATCTGTAGTACTTGAGCTTTAAACCTTTGATCAAAGTAATTTCCAAGTTTTCATTTATGAGTTGAAAACAACACTAAATATCTTCTTCATATATCACATTTAGCGTCGTCAAAAGACACAAAGTTTAATCTTAAGGATCACATGGATCTGGTGCACAATCACAATCAATTTGCTCCAATCTATTCTCCTTCAACCAAGCAAACTTTGTAACCAACATTTTAAAAATGTGTTATTCTGGAAGTATATGAACTATTCGATCAATTGCGTCAATCACTGATCCAGTTCTTCCGAGAAAATCTTCAGATATGATATGATGATATGAGCCTTTGCACTGAGATAACGGATTTGGATAAATTGCTGCGACGCAACATGCACAAATTAGAAGAACTTAACCAACGTTAGAGTTCCTAAGCAGAAATCTCTGTTTTCAAGCAAAATATGTAGTTGTGTACATTCCTTCAAATTTGCAAAACCGAATTTTGTTAGTATCGCCAGATTAACTAGCCATTAGATAACCCACTAAATGCAAAGCGCATGACCCACATGTCCCAAACTTCCGCAGGAAACTAAGCGATTTGCATCTTGCCAGTTAATTGAACGCACAGTATTTTTTTGTAAACTCTATAGTTTTCCCAGATAAAATATCCTTTACCACCAAGTCACTTGAGGGAGTCTGGTTACTGTCCTAAAAATTTTACAAAAAAGATATCATTTAAAAACATCGTTAGACCTTTTGGATTTCCATAAAGGCCGTCATGGAAGGCTTGAACATCAAAAATCTGCGTACCATAGATTCCAGCAAGGCTTTTTAACCACCTGTTATCCAACAAGAAGAAAAAGCGCACCCAAAAGCAATTACCAAAACAAACGGCATGCACGTTTGGCTTCCAAAATGCAACAAACCGCCATAAAAGATTAGCTTAGTGTTAAAAATTCATATTTCAATTTGCATAACAAGGACAATAACTATTAAAATTCGTGAGTTATGGAGAATTTAAAATAAGGAAAAGAGGGCGCATAAGACTCTCTCATCAGAAACATTGTGCAATTATTTGCCTCCAAACAAGCAAGTGGATAAGGTGGAAAAACCTAAAAACAAAAATACCGGTGGCTTGAAATTATCAGGCTGGAAAGCTTCAAGCATTGAGAATAGTGTAATTCTCATCCAAAAGGCCCAACACGTTGGTCAATACCAAAACGTTGCCCAAAAGTAAACGTGGTAGCTGTCACCATTAAGGGTCTAGATGCAAACTATCTTGACGGACTTCTACGATAGCAGAGTTCCTGATAAAAATAAACGCGGTGATTTCTGTGCACACATCGCATCACTGAAAATGCAGGTACATTGCCTTCAAGTTCATTAAAATACGCCTATTGCTTGGCCCAATGTGCTGAAAGGAGAAGCACTTTTCTAATAATATTCGGTTTGTTGAGAATTGCTTTTCTTATGTTTTGGCTTGCTCGTCAGTACTCTCAATTCGCCGGATCTATGGAGGATATAAATCAGCACTTTTAGTAGCCGGAAACATTTGTTAGGAGGATGATGGAGCAAAATCCGCTTTTTATAAAAGAAATCAAAAGAATCATGACATATGCAAACCCAAAAACAAGCGTCAAAAACAACTGAAGTTACGAATTGCTGTGCCCATAATGAGCGATCAGTTGATGGTAATGCCAAACGATGCGTGCTAGAAAAGTATATGATAAACCTTCGCGATAAAAGTTCAACCAAAGTTCGATACAGGCGGTCGATCTCGTGTGAATTTTTACACAACACAGTATGTTGACGTACTCTCCTACAAGTAGGGGCTTTTTCTCTTATCAAGTGCTTTAAATGTCTTAGACAAGTTGCGACCGTCATTTGGCCTCACACACAAACTATGCTGCAGACATTTGCTCTGTATTTTAGTTAGAATGCTTTGCAGATATCATGTACTTCATGCTACGAAAAATTGTCTTACCATCCAATGGATATGACCCAGTCTTATGTTTATGGCGAGAAGCTTCATTTAGGTCAGGCAGTGGCCATTTTTAGTGAGCCACTGTTATTTATGCTGACATTCACGTTGATGGTCTAATCACTAAGGCTGTAAGGTTGATTTTACCGGTAATCAATAGTACAACCCATGAAAACTTATATGGGACTAGGAAGCTAGCTAAAACCGCTGAAAAGCATTACATTCATTCTAGTGTTTATGAAGTATTATATCATCAATAAGTCAACATGTGCACTATGTAGGACAAACCAAGAAATTCCATTCCGTGTTGCATAGACAAAATAACGTATTCTCATGACAGTATTTTCATGAAGAATTTGAGAGGTAGAGCCAGTAGACGTCAAAACTAGCTATTTCAGCCGAAATTTGTGACGACTAGCATCCTTGTACACTGAAAAATATGGACACTAATATACAAACGCGGAATTGCACAGAGGGTCAAAGCTTTGAGTCGGGAATCAAAGCTTACAAGCAAGACTCACTAAAAAAGACACTGTAAAATGAAAACTTGCTGGACAATGTTACTGATAAGCACTATGCTTCCTACACTAAAAAGCCTTCACATTTTTGGTGACAATATTATTAATTGTCCAACACTGAATAAAAGCAGTATTAAAACCTGGTAAGAAACGAGTATCTGTATGTTCTTTTCAGCGACCCAAGCTGACGTTACTCGCCGAGTCTTTCGCCACCAGCGCTTCTTGTAAGCAATCTCAGTGATAGCAGTTATCCTTGCCCTGAAGAATGTGCTGGTGCCACCGAACATTTATAGTGGAGTCCCAAAAATGTTGCAGTCTCTGCTACTTTCTACATAGGGATTACAGAAAACAAAGGCAACTAATTCAATTGAAAACTCAAGACGGACGTTTTGCGTTCGAGATAAACTATATGCGCAGGTTGTAGATACTTTTACCTATGGTGAGAAAGCTTGTCGCTGAAACTGCCTGCAAACTAAAATAACAATAATCCATTCCAATATACTTTACCCTTAAGTCAAAAGAAATTTCGGAAATTAGGTATATGCATTAGGCGAAACACTTCCTGAATGCGTGCAACTCGCATGCTATTGTGATGGAACTGACCGGTGATACCAACGTTTCTCCTCTCGCCCGCTCCAGGGGGGATAGAAATCAAATTGTTCCTCGGTCTTCTGAGAAACGCATGTACTCACGTCATCTTGTCAATGAAGTAAGTTCAGGATTTTCCTACCGCTTATGCAGGTTTCCTGTGCTATATCCTCCATACGCAAATCAGTCGATGTATCAAATCCACCTATATTATGAAGCTGGAGTATTTCGCACTGTATGAACTGACCTGTGGTGCCAAGAATTGATCTCTGGTGTTCGCAATTGCCTCTCTAAACACATTCGTCAATATCGAATCGTGTAGGACAAGATAGTTACAAAAGTTGACAATGTACGCTTTTGAATTGAAATGTTACTTCTTGCAATCTTCTTTTTACGCTTCTCAACTGCAGCCGCCTTTTTAAGATCATTTGGTAGCACCAACTTATACATGATTGCCAATTAATGAAATGACCCCACGAAGACTAATAACTAATTCAAAACCGCACTGGGGAGGTCAGGCCTTCAGCAATCGAAATAAGTTTATTCAGTTCGGCCTAGGGCTGAGCTGGATTATGACAGAGCTTATCATCGCCAAGATTCTTAAGCAAAAAAATCTAGGCAATCACCACATAACCTAACAGTTAACTGATCCATAAGAACTAAATATATGGCATTATTCATTCGCACAGGAGCGTAATTCCGTAGCACTCAGCACTTTTCACGGAGTGTTGCTTGCACTCGTTCCTTTGCGTCCATATTAACAGGAAAGCTGCAGTGATTTTGTGAGGTCGAAAATGTTGATGGTTTGGTGCTGGATGCGTGGTTGCAAAGCTCCCTTCCTTTGTTCAGACGGGTGGAGTCTCGTTACATGGAGAGAATGCGCAGAGTATGTGACGCTAGGTTAGAGGCGACCGAAGTACTATGGTTCTAAACATGGGACCGGACATACTGAGGTAACCTGCTCGTAATAGCAACTTTGGTGCAAGCGGACAGTTAAGATGGGCTAATATGCCCACATTTTTTCTGTTAATTATTTAGGTCGTGCTAGGCATGACGGAACACAAAATTGAATATGAGAAGCTGTGGAACAGAAACATCGGTATGTAAGTTATCGGATTCACAATAGGTTGACACAATCCGCGTGGCTTTCTGACAAACCACGGCTCTGATAGATGAGAGTCGATAGTGCTGCAGACGGTTTGGTTATCAGGCAATCGTTGATGGGAAACCGTTCGTGGAAAACCCGTCAGGTCATCAGGGATCCCAGTGAAGTAAAAAAACTGTGTGGAAAGATTTTGCGAACGTACGACTACTTGCACTGCAAGCGGAGAGTTTGTTTGTTCATGGCTTTTCATCAGATGTTTTCACTGTCTGACAGATCGGCGAATTTGTTCTAATGGTCACGTTACAATCCGGAAATCAGTCAAATTGTTGAGACTATGGTTGGTGTTGTTGCTGTTTCATATAATGCATCACGCAATAAATCATAAATAGTAAGAATTGGGCGAAATTTCTTTGTTGCATGTGCTTGTACGGGGGACATTTTCTTGCAGTGTTTTACCCGAAGGCAGCAAGCGGTTTCCGAAGTTTCTGGCAGCCTGGAGATCGCCTAATATTTACGCCAATGTTAAGCTAGCATATTGTAACAGCCTCAAAAAATTTCGTTACTTACGCCATAGAGTGCCTGTAAAAAATTCACGACGGACCTCTTCTCATAATGCCGTTTCTGTCCCAACTAGACAGCCTCCAAACCGATAACTGCTTTGTCTTCACTTTATGCATGGGTAGGGTGGTCATCCTAGCCTTCTTGCTTTGGCACAAATTATGAAAGAAAAATTTCTGCCTCGACCACTAAAATGTTTATTGCGTGGATACCGTCAGAGAGGTTCCACACGGAAATAAGTTGGTAAGTTGTTTGGGACATCGCACAGTTGAAAATTCAACTTCATCTTGGTAGGTTACGACTCTTGATCTCGAAACATAACTGAATGTTCTAAAGGCTGGACATAATGGGCGGACATTTTGAAATGGTTATTTGTACTGTGTATTGTGTTGTAAAATGATAAGGAAACCTCTTGAACACCTAGAAGCTATCAAGACTATGAAGGAAAGAGCAAGTTCATATGGTAATCTAATCAAAAGAGATTATGGATATCGTGCCCTTGATTGAAATATTCTTCAACAGTCAGCAACTAGAAGAATAATACCAATGTTTTGAGATAGCTGAGTACTCAAAAGTTGCGTTTTACAGCACCGCAAGTGTCGACTAAAGATTATAAAAGATTCGTTCCTAACATGTATCATGATGGCTAACGCGGGATCACAAAGATCCAGCTGTGTTTACTTCTCATCACGGTTCCTTGTCTCAGGGTAAATCTTTCAGTTATAATACTGAATATGAGCACTGATCACTGTGAAATATGTACTTACCAAGCAAAAGAGAAGCAGGAGGCAATTCCATCGTTCGGTCTAAGTTCACTCTGGCGTCCGGCGTCCGGCGTCTTAGGATATGCGTGAGCTGTAAAACCTGTATTCGCCTGAAAAGTTTTCAGGCTTTTAGGATTACATGGTGGTCATCTGGGGCAAAAGCGCTGCCGACGGCCAGACTTCGGCTCGCTTACGTCAAAAATAACCCAATAAAACCGAGCTGTTTCTCATGTTTGTTGCACTCGACACATGTCTCAAAAGCACTATTTACCACGATGGCTGCCGCAATCAATGGGCCTCCTCTCAAGCTCGTTGCGCTTAAAGTAAGACAGAAGAGGCTGCTGCCAGATCAACATTACCGATAACCGATCACTCCATTACTTTGCTTCCACCATGAAGCTCATGATCAGTGGCAGTTCAGGTATACAAGATGTTTACTATTTGAGTGAGCAATCCCAGACATACCAAGCACAGGCCATATTCTCACTAGCGCCTAATTCTTTTGCTCTCTCGCGGTTTGAGCGCGCATGCTTTGCGGGTTGTTCATTTCGCTTCCTCGGTTTGCATCAAATCGCCAGGTTCAACAAAAAGTGTTATGAGCGCGGTTTACGTTTTTAAAACAAATCTGCTCATACATCTCGTCAGTAGATTTCTTCGTTAACGCCAGCGTAATCTGCCCAAAGGCGCGGTCACGGAGGCACCGAATACATAGTTGCTGGCACTGATACGAGATGGAGCATTGCTGAGTTGCGCACAGTAGTGTCAGTTAGGCTATTGGACGAAGGGCTTCAGAGGGCTTCAGGGTTCGTAATCCAGTCACGGGGCAGGGTTGGAAGGCACAGAAGGTTTGCCGGATGAGCCTCATGAAAAGTTAGACCAAAGCGGTTCATGTGTTATGTGATCATGGCGCTTCAGGGTTCGTTATACTGATGGCCGATCCACTGCCCACTGTCGATCAGGGCGAACCTAAGGACCTCAGAGCCTCAAGGCCCTCTGATTCGCTGCTCCTCGAAGGAGTTTTCATTGCGAATTATAACATAATTATGGCAACACAGAATTGTCATAAGTGATTGCGGCAATCAAAGAATGCAAAAACAGCTTTGGGAAGTGTTGAATAAGAAAATTTTTCCTCGCACCGCACGCTAATCGTACTTAGACGCAGATAAACAGAAGGAGAAACCACTGTTGTTCCTGAGATATGTACAAGTTACCGGTTGTCGACACATGCAAACTGTTTTGCATTAACTCAGCTGCTTGAATAATCATTCTGAAGCTAAATGTGCGATGCCCGTCAGGCATTTTTGGCGGAGTTAAACCATCACCTATGTGTGTAGGGCCTGAGCCCGACTTCGATGTGTAAATTATGCATCCCATAGTATGTTCTTGAAATTACCACGGTGTTGTAGCCAGTCCAACGTTTATGGTCGCTTTGACCTTCGCCCGTTTTTCTTTCACTACTAGTATTTTTAATGTCTTTCTGAGTCTATCGCGATGAATGTGACTTTTGTGTGTGAACGTTTCCTTCGTTTGTTCCTGTGGACTCGACAAAGGACTCTACTTCGGCCATTGCCCCGAAAACGTGGAGCCTCTGGACAATGATATGCTCCCGGCTGCTGTTTTACCACTTTCGCTTCCCCTATTTTTTTGTGTGCTCCACATTAGTGCCCCGTGAGTTCCTAGGCATGACTAGTTTTCTGGCCTCAGTCGAATATATTCTACTGTCAAGAGAATATTGGATTGATAACTCAATAAGACGTGCTTATTGCTGCTAGAAGTCAGCCATCGGTATGATAAAGTTTGAATGCTTTCTGTAACGATGGGGCTCACTTAAACTGGTGTGCATAACGGTGCGTCAAACATCTTTGTTACAGCAGGATCATCACAAAATATGGCGCCTTGTTACAATGGCAATCATCTCAAATTTGAACAATCTACCGTGAGATGCGATAGAGCACGTGAACTTTACCTGTAAAACTAGATCGTTGGTTGGTTCACTGGAATAGAATACGGGGCCAAACATTATGGAACCCTCAGGTATTCTTGGATCGCACTTAATGTAAAAAAATAACCACAATTACATTCCGCAACGCAATAGAGGGATCTCTTAGCAGTAAACAGATCGCACTTAAGGAAAAAAATAACCACAATTACATTCCGCAACGCAATAGAGAGATCTCTTAGCAGTAAACAGATGAGACTTCATTCTGAAAATAACACAGCAGCTAGAAATATCATGCTTGATAGAATGTAAAATTTATTGTTGGAAACATTACCCAGTGTTTGTGCAAATGAAGGATGGTGTGGTATCTTCTCTAGATCACAAACACTTAAGCTGTGACAACCCATAGAACCTGATGGTTCTTCCTGAAAGTGAAATGATTCGGCCCTTCAAATTACACTAGACAAGCCCTACGAGAGGTTTGTTATTTTTGGGAGTGTATTTTTATCTGACCGTTGTGTCAAGCAGCAAATGCGTCAGTGCGCCACAGATGTGGACAAACTTTGCGTCCAGAAATAGGCGCGGAAGGCGGCACATCTCTTCAGAGCGGTTATTTCGACGCCAATATAGATGTCTCACGGTCACGGCCTTGGATTGCCGTTAAAATGTTTTCCAACGACGGTTCATTTAGTACCTGCTTTATTTTTGATAATTTCCCCCCGCATGTGTGTTTAACAACAGCTTATTTAAATGTTTCATGAGTATCTAGCGGCTGCCTAAACGAAGTGTGTCTTGGTAGGCAAAACTGCAGTCTCGTTGCTGGACTACGGAATTTTATA